CAAAAGCATAGAGGGGTAATGGGCAACTGCACGAAGTGGGGGACAGAGTGGGAGCTGAGGCTGGAAAGGAGTTTTTATGTATACGTGACTATTACCAATGCCATGAAAAAAAGATTGTTTTCATTAGCTGGTTGAAAAAATCCCTTCCTCATCCAAATTAAGTTCTCTGTCTTCTCAGAGATGACGTAATCAGCAGAGTGAAGTATAACTTATCAGGCGTTCTGCTATCAGTGAAGTGAGGGAGACTGCCGCAGATGCCTTGGCTCATCTCAGGTTCCCATCCCTGTTCTATCCAATGTCTGAGAGAGTTCTGAGAGGGGCCTTGGGAAAACTTTATCCACATACAAGCTGACCAGGAACTATAACAAGGAAACATCAGGATGTACCATAGGTCAGAACTTTTCATTCTGTCCAAGAGGATAAGATGGACATGTGTAGTTCAAAAAATGTACACCCTCTGTTCAGTCCAAAAAGCTGTCTCAAATGTCAACCTATATCATCATAACTTGGCACATGTCTATATTTTCTTCATAACTTCCCAGAGGCTCATTCAATAAATAAGTGGGCATTGTGTAAGGTCCATGCTAACTCCTATGTGAGGGGAAAGATAAGCTTGGACCTTCTATATCTAACCCAAATTCCGGGCAATGGAAACCAAATCCTTCAATGAGACACCGTGGCCAACCTTGCTTCCAACACTTGGAGCCGGACCCTCTGGATTTGGCTCCCGAATCCGTCATGTTTACAAGTTATTCGGACCCCCTTTGTCTTAGTTTCCTCATGTATGAAATGGGGATAATAATATTTTCTTTTTTTTAAAGATTTTATTTATTTATTTGACAGACAGAGATCACAAGTAGGCAGAGAGACAGGCAGAGAGAGAGGGGGAAGCAGACTCCCCGCTGAGCAGAGAACCTGATGCGGGGCTCAATCCCAGGACCCCGGGATCATGACCTGAGCTGAAGGCAGAGGCTTTAACCCACTGAGCCACCCAGGCACCCCTGAAATGGGGATAATAATAAAGCCTACTATGTAATATAACACATGTAATATAAGTTAGCAGTACCTGGCAGTGTCCTATTCAAGCAGTGTTCCTTATTCCTATCACCAGCTGTGTGCCATACTTCATTTCAAGACTAACAATCAGGGGCCCCTGGCTGGCTCAGTCAGTAGAGCATGCAACCCTTGATCTGGGGATTGTGAGTTCGAGCCCCACATTGAGTGCAGAACCTACTTTAAAAAAATTAATTATTATACACCTAGTTGGTAAAAAGATGCCAATGCCATGTAAAATATTCCATGATATATCATAACTGGAGTTTAAAAGCGGGTTACAGTGTCTTCTCTTTCTCTTGTTCTCTCTCTTTCAGAGGACAAGGGTATATGCAGGTGGCAAAGATGATTTCTGAGTGGTTTTTATTTTCTCTTTTATATTTAAATCTATTTTATAAATTTAACATGGGTGTACAAGTAAAAAAAAAGTTATTAAAAATATTAAACAACATCAGTGAGAAAGACTTTAAGGATCTTACAAGTCTTTTCTAGGCTACAATCTAAGTGTCACAATGGGAGAGGCAGTGGCATCTCAGAGCCTGTCTCTGTTTCAGGCTGGCCGGAAGCCAAAGAAAGAACTGGGTCAAGATCAATTTCCATCCCAAGCCCTTCTTTCAATTTCCCCTGCTTCTCTTTTCAGATGCCCATCAAGGGGGCTAATTCTTTCCCTCATCCCACTAACATGTGTTGTGAGCCCACAGGGGCCCAGCAGTGTACCAGGTGCTAAAGATAAACAAGACTCTGCCCTTGGTGGCCTGTGATCTCATCCCGCCCCCGATGACCATCAGCTGTGATGGCCTGTAGCCCAGAGACAGCGCTCCCTGCAGTCATAGCCCTTCCCCACTCTTGGGACCTATTCCTGGGACCCGCTCCTGCCAAGATCCTGCCTCTGCTCCTCTTTGCTACAGATGACGTCATCCTTATACATCAGTCCTGATGTGAATGTCTCAGTCGAGTCCTGGCAGAAAACAGCATTGTACTCAAAAGGGCTTAACGGATAGTTGAATAAAGGGACTACTCCTTGAGCTGGGGGCAAGGTTCAGGGAATGCCTGATACCAATGTCCTCAAGGACAAGGACCAGTGGGAAGCCATGACTACCCACGGTCCCGGAGGGGAAACAGTGTTATCGGAGCCTATTGAAGATACTGTGATTATCTGTAATCACAGAGCAACATGTTGCTAGTCCCAGAGACTGAAGCAGGAAGAGAATGAGGAATAAATGTCCTGCTCTGTCATCTCCTGCCAGTGCCCATTTGGCTGAATTCACAAGCCAGAGAGCAAGGATGCCCAAGCAGTACACTTTGCCTGGCAATGTGTTACTCTCTGTAGTAACAGGTTTGTGGCAGACCCAAGTTAGGAATGGCATCAGTTTCAAGTCAGGGTGAACTAATGGGGCAGATATTTTAAGGCAGACCTCCTCAGACCAGTGGTTCTAAGTAATTAATTCTCCAAATCCCTGCTCCTGTGGGTACTGGGGAAATGCTCAGCAAAAGGCTAAATTAATGCCCTGAAACTTCATAGTTTTGTTATTTTCTTTCACATTTTATTCTGACTATATTGGAAGGAGATCTGAAGGGTGGGGGGTGCTTTGTTGATTTGAGTACCTAGACTGCTTCCAGCACACCTCTGTTTTAATTTTCATCATAGACAGAAACAACGACCAGAAGTACACAAAGATGTCAACAAGTAAGACAGGCATGACGGTAAATGCATGCACAGCATTTTAAAGATGTCTCTTCCCCACACTTGAGCTGTGGTGACTTTCAGCAGCAACCCTCACCCCTGGCCAAGGAGCAGGAGGCAGAAGGTGGGGGACCAGAGGAGGGGAGAACTGGAAAGGAAAAGATGGCGGGGCTCCCAGTTCCCGCTGGGTGAAAGAGGTTGTGAGAGGTGACAGGGAACAGTTTTCCTCCTCTTCAAGTCCCCAGCATCTTCCTCTCCTACTTCCATAAGCAGCATAGCTTGGTCCTGGCTCACTAGTTCAGATTCTTTCCCTGGACTGCTTCCTTTGCAGTAATTTCCTTACCTTAAAAGGAAACTTCCTTGTCGGTTCAGTAATGACAGTGGCTCCGTCCATTTGGGTACCCTTTAGAGTCTGAAGAGTACTTCTGCGCACATTATCTCATTTACTCCTCACACTCCTTATCAGGTCACAGGACTTTACCTTCTATTGGTTGAGGAAACCGAGTCTCAGGGAACAAGTTGCCTAAAGGCACAGAGTAGGCAGTGTCAGAGTTTCTCTGTCTCTCAGACAGGTTCCCCTCACCCCTACCCCCCCCCCACTAAAATGATGAAAGGTTTCTTCAAGAAAGAAGATAGCAAGGACATAAAGGTGGACTGGGGTAGTTATAAAGGAGGAAACTGTGTATACTGAGGACAAAATGAACCAGGGCGGTGACTCTCACAGTGTTATCTCCAGACCAGTGGCATCGGTGGCATCTGGGAAAGTCTCACAGGTGCAGATTCTTGAGCCGCAGCCCAGACCCACTGAATTAGAAACATCAGAGGAAAAGGGAAGCTCAGGAACCTAGGTTTGAACAAGGAAGCCATTGAATCCAGGGGAAAGGAGGTGTGTGTGGTGGTAGCCTGAAGAGAGCGCTGGTGTTAGCATAAGGGGGAGCTGGGAAGGTAGTCAGTGATTTCTGTGGATTCGAGAGCTGGTGAAGGTGGGTGAATGAAGACCGTCCAAGGCCACTGCAGCTTTGTTCGTGATAGCAGAAGACTAGAAACAACCCAAATTTCCACCTGTAGAGGATGGTCACATGAGTTATGGTGTATCCATGTAGGGAACACTACACGGTATAAAACAGAATAAGAGGCTTGGGATATTTACATATGGGAAAAAAGCCAAAGTATATTTAAATAAAAGAAGAAAAAGTAGGAACATTTATATAATACATTATATTTGGATTTTATAAAAGGGGAGAACTAAGAACATATATTTGTAGTTACTTGTATCTCCAAGAAAGTCTGGACAGAGACAAGAAGTCATTCAGAGAGGTACCTGTGGATGGGGAATGGGGTAGTTGGAAGCAAAGACAGGATGTCAACTTTCCACTGCATTTCCTTTCCTAAAATTGTCTGCCCCTGTAAATAGATTACCTCTCCAGGAAAAAATAAAAAATAAATAAAAATGGCCATTGGTGCAATTTGGCAGCAGAAGAACATGTTTCCCATGGAACAAGGATGGCGGGCATCCAAGGGCAATTCCAACCTCTTTCTGCAGAATGGGCGAACAGAGGTCAAGGGTACCAAGTTCTGCCCACACCCACTGTCTCTGCCCTCCAGTTCAAACTCTCCCAGAATGGCTGAAGTGCTTTGGGGGAGTTTAGACTTCTTAGTAAGGACAATAAGTCCTTACTAAGTCCTTAGTAAGGACAGGACCAGCAGTTCTCAGCCTTAGCTACACATTAAAATCATCTGGGAAGCTTTTGGCTCAATGGGTTACGGGTCTGCCTTAGATTCAGGTCGTGATCCCAGGACCCTGAGATTGAGTCCCACATTGGGCTACCTGCTTATCAGGGAGCCTACTTCTCCCTCTCCTCTGACCACCCACTCATGCTCTCTCTTGTGTGCTCTCTCTCTCTCTCAAATCAATAAATAAAAATCTTAAAATAAGTAAATAAAAAATAAAATAATCTGGGAAGCTTTTATAAATGCCAACTGCCAGGCCCTATTCCCAGAACAGCCAAATCCAAATCTCTGAGGTGGGCTCTGGGCATTGGCACTTTTTGGAGCCCCTCAATTATGATTCTAAACCACACCTGCTGGGTGAGCGCATTAATCCAGAAAGCTGGAGAGAGGAGGCAAGGCTATCCAATAGCTTTACAAAGAAGAAATAACACAACCCATCAAACCTGTCACAATCAAATCTGACTGAAAAAAATTTTTTTTTATCTGTCTTGATTGGAATCTGTGATGAACCTGTTGCTTCCCGCCTTGGCAGCCCAATTCTGAAGCGAAGCCCTGATATCACCAAATCGCCACTGACCAAGTCAGAGCAGCTTCTGAGGATAGACGACCATGATTTCAGCATGAGGCCCGGCTTTGGAGGTATGAGACGAGCACTCATGGTGGGGTCTGTCCGACTGTCCACGGGTAGAGGTCAAACCAAGGGACCACACACGCTTTGTTCTCCCCCAATCAGGTCTGCCTCCATTATGCTTGGGGGCCAAGATGGAGCCCACAGGTCTTCTGAGTATCGCCCTTGTCCAGCCCTGCCCATGTCCAGGCTAGCTAGCTGAGCTGTCCTCAGGCCGCTGCTCCTGACAAGGAAGGCTGGGGATCGGTGAGGCCAGCAGCTGGCTGTGGGAAGGGCCAGGGGAAGACTGGGCCGCCGCAGCCCAAAGCTGCCTCCTGAAAACGCTCTGAAATAACAACCTTGGACAAAATTCGTGCTAATCTGGGAGCTGGCAGACGGAACTCGGGTGTCAATCCGAGGGCAGACTGCGGTCTGCTGGGTTTAATTAAATGAAAATAGCTTGAGAAAATAACGATCTAGTGCAGAAGGCTGTCTGCTTAGCCTGCAGCTGGCAGATTTCAGCCCCTTCTGTGTCAAATAGGGTTTTCATCCATATAGGTTTCTTCCTGGAATAAAATATTTGTTTCAGAAATCGTCCTCATTTTTTTATTTCTCCCAGCCACATTCACCCAAAGAATAAACAGGTTCTAGAAGGGAGTCTCTATCAAATCTGTAACCTGCTGCTGTTGGATCCAAACCCACTTCCATCCAGGATAATCTAAGTGTGGCCCATGCCTGCCCACATCCAGGGGGGGAAGGAGCAGCAATCTAGTCCCTTGATAATGCTTTCCTTCTCTTGATGAATATTATGTTTTCGTGGCCTAGAAATGCAAAAAAAAAAAAAATAATAATAATAAATAAATAAAAAAGAAAGATTCTAATGTTTCCAGGCCACCCTGATGCCTCACGTCCCCCTTGCAAGCGACTCTGTCATGTGGCGAAGATACAAATCTGTGGGCTTGGCAAGTGGCCTACCTGTGGCTTTGGTTCTGGGTGCCTCAGGGCCAGACAGAGGCATTGGCTTCCATGACAGAATCAGGAGGCAGATATAAAGAACAGAGTGGACGACCCTGTGCTAGGGAGTCACTCCTCAGATCAGACCCAGCTTTGAGCTAGGTCATCCCTGTAGCTTTCCATGAGCACGTGTAACCAGAGAAGAAAGCTTCATAGAAACCTCATCCTTAGAATCACCTGAATGATTCAGACAAAAAACTTAAAAACAAGCAAACAAAAGCTCTTTGTTGGAATATTCCAGGGAACCAACCCCAGGATTCAACCCTCCGATTTCTGGTTTCACTTCAGCTTGACGTGGGGACGCCAAACCTTCAAATCCGGCAGGAAGCGGAGGAAACGGGTTCCAGGGGGGATGCTCTTCCTACCTGTAGTAAAAATGCAAGTAAAAAGGATAAATGTCTTGCCATGCCCCATTTGCAGGTCCGGCCATTCCTGTGGGTGTGGATGTGCAGGTGGAGAGCCTGGACAGCATCTCAGAAGTCGACATGGTAAGTGCCTCTGTTGCCGGGGCTGTGAGCACGTGGAGTCACACGGGGCCTGTGCTGGGTCAGGAGATCCACACTCCTAAATTCACAGGGTCTCACAACTCCCCAAGCCGTGGGAATGCCCACACTCATTTTACAGGTGGGTAAGGAAGGTGAAGACACTTGCCAATCAAAAAAGAAAATAAAAACAAAGTAGAAGGTATAAAAGAAGTGATTGTAAGAAATAAAGGCGTCTACTGATCATCAAAAAAAAAAAAAAAAAAGACACTTGCCAAAAGCCACCCAGTTGGTATGAGACAGAGCTGGATGCCAAAGTTGATCTCCCTTCAGTGCCTAGGCTCTTTCCCCTGGCATGTGTCCTCTGGGCAAAAGCTCTCCAACAGAAACAGTAGGGTCCAAGGTCGCAGCTGTCACGTAGCCAGATATTCCACAACTGGAGATCCTGTATCTGGCTGTGGAAATGCAGAACTGCTGAAAAGGGTCCTTTTTTTCCCCCTCTTCAGTGGGTTTAGGTGGGAAAATGGAATGTTCTACAACTCCCTGACTTACAGGACTGTTTACAGCCTCACTTAGTTTAGGGTATCCAGAAGGCAGACTTGAGAGAAGCATTCTAGCACAAGTAGTTTATTTGGGAGATGATCCCCCAAAACCCACGAAGAGCATAGGGCAAGGTGAGACAGGGATGGGGAGGAAGAGAAAAGTCCTGTGTCCTCAAACCAGTCACTGCTGTGAATCTCAGTCCCATTAGGGGAACTCTGAGAATCAGCAAAAACACCTCCAGGTTATCTCAGCTGAGGGGCCAAGAAGCTGGGGTGCTCATCTAGCCCTCCGCACCCCCTTCTCCCCCCAACACACCGAGGGTCAGCAGTGCTGGCAGCAGCACCTTGTCAGGGTGGAGACAGATGCCAGGGGATGGGTTGGGACTCAGGGACATGGATTTTGCTAGAAGTGTCTGGCTGAGTCCCTCCCCTGCAGTCCTCCTACCGCAGCAAACCCCAGGGACTGGAGGCAAGACCTCCATGTCTCTGTGGTTTCATCCCCAGCCGGGTGACGGCTCCATGGGGTGCCCAGGGTCCTGCTGACACCCTGGTAGTTTCACTCTGTGGGGTTCCCCTCTCTAACCCTCCCCTCCAGGACTTCACGATGACCCTCTACCTGAGACACTACTGGAAGGACGAGAGGCTGTCCTTCCCGAGCACCAACAACCTCAGCATGACGTTTGACGGCCGGCTAGTGAAGAAGATCTGGGTCCCAGACATGTTTTTCGTGCACTCCAAGCGTTCCTTCATCCACGACACCACCACGGACAACGTCATGCTGCGGGTGCAGCCCGACGGGACCGTGCTCTACAGCCTGCGGTAAGGCCGCCCGCTGCCTCTTTTCCTGGAGGTCCTCTCGCTCCCGAAGAAGGGGCGGGAAGGCAGAGAGTTCCTCTAACCGCAAGGGCAGTTTTGCTTTTTGGCTTTGAATAGCTAGTTTTTTTTGGTGGTTGTTGTTTTGTTTTCCTTCTTTTTATTTTTTCTTTTTATTTTTTACATTTTTTAAAATTGTGTTCTATTAGTCGCCATACATCATTAGTTTTTGATGTAGTGTTACATGATTCATTGTTTTCGGGTAACACCCAGTGCTCCATGCAGTCCGTACCCTCCTTCATACCCACCACCAGATAGCAAGTGTGTAACGTCTCAGGAGGTACCACGTTCTCTACGTCAAGGGAAAGCTATTTTATGCGGGAGAAAAAAACTGTAAGAAATTATTTAGTCTCAAAAACACATTTGTGGAAATTTTGCAAGCTGATGCTTATGATTTATGCCTTACCCTGCAGGTTTCATTTTAATTTAAAAACTTCGATCCAAGTTTTATTGAGTTGTATTTATTTGGCCTCTAGTGGGAAGCAGCGAAATAGATAATGTGTTCTTCTGAAAGACTTGCCTCCTTAGATGTCTCAATTCCCATCTTTCAGGTATATTTTAGAACTTGGGCTTAAAGAAATTCTCTTTCCTTACCGGGCCAGCCACAGGCATGTTTGCTATCCTTTCTCACCACAGGTCCTCCTGAGAAACTCTGGAAATCCTGGGCTGCTTTATGACTTTGAACAGTCTTCTGAGCATCACTTTTAAAATAGGAAGAATATAGGCCTTTTTTCTTAGGAGTTCGGGTACCTTAGAAATGTTCAAGTGCTGATTTATCACTGACCTGGGGAAGCGTTCCTTCAACACAGGTGCTACAGCCTGGCTTTTACTGCTCGGTCAGCTTTAGAAACTCATGGTTTAGGAACTCATGGTCCCACTGGGGAGGACGTGTTCAGATGAGCCACAGGCCTTCATGGAGAAGGGGCTCTGTTTCTTGTGATTTACTCCTCTTGTGCTGTGCTCATGGTGCATTTCAGTTTTTTTAAGATTTTATTTATTTATTCGGGGAGGTAGATAGCGAGAGGGAGCACGAGTAGGGGGAGGGGAGAGGGAGAAGCAGGCTCCCCACTGTGCTGAGAGCCCGACACAGGACTCGATCCCAGGACCCTGGGATCATGACCTGAGCTGAAGGCAGATGCTTAATGGACTGAGCTCCCCAGGTGCCCTGGTGCATTTCAGTTTTAAAGACTTTGTTCCAGTAAAGATGAATCCATATACCAGTGTCTAAGTAAGGGATGCCTGGACAGGAGCATGGTGTATCTTTTGAATCAAAAATGGCAGTGTTGAAGCTGAATTTCTGCCTCCACCCTCCAAAGGAATGTTTATAATGATTCCTCAGTACTCACTCTGGCTTGGGATCTAAACAATTAGTTACTAGACACAGAGTGGAGGTATGGGGTTTTCCTCCCCATACTTGAGATGCCTTCTGCCATAGAAGTGCTCAGGAGGGTCAAGGAGGTACAATCCCTTCCCCCAACCGTGTTGAGGTGGTTCTTCCTGGAGTCCTCCCATCTGAGGCAGGCTGTCAAGGCATCCTACAACTCTAAAACCACCCACAAAACATCACAACCTGATGGCACCACCAGGGACACAAAAGACTAGATCATAAGACACGTGATCACTGGTGTGCTGGCGAATGTTTAACAACTGGTTAGCTGGGGTAAATGTATGAATACATATGTGTATGTCAGCTTGCTATAAACATGGCTGATAAAAGGATATAGAACATATGAGTCACAAGTAAAATAATCTATGTAATACTTTTTTTAAAAAAGATTTTATTTATTTACTTGAGAGAGAGTGAGAGAGAGCATGAGAGGGGCGAGGGTCAGAGGGAGAAGCAGACTCCTGGTTGAGCAGGGAGTCTGATTGCGGGCTGAGGAAAAGATTTGTAAGATTGTTCTTGGGAGAGAGTTGTGGGCATGAGCCTTCCCTGGCATTTCTCCAAGAGCTTGGAACATGTGTGCCTACCAGTGGGGGATGTTGTGCAGTCGGAGGGCATGAGAAGAGCCATCTAAATACCCTGGGGGTGTGGTGGGGCCAGTCTGTATCCCCAGGTTGCTGGGAATAGTTGGGTGTGTGTAGAAGGGACAGCAGGTGAGTAAACCAAGAGGCAGGGTGGGGAGTTCAGATTGGTTAAGACAGCCCTGAAGCCTGGAGGGGTTCAGCAGGGGAAATGAAGAACCCAGGAAAGGAAGTAATCAGCTTCAGCCATGTAGAGCATGGTTACCAGAGAGCATCAACGAGAGAGCATGAAGCCACCTACCAAGGAATTGTCCTGCCTCCTGTCACTTCTGCCTGTGCAGGAGCTGATCAGAGATGGGCAGGAATTGACCACTCAAATGTCAACTTCATACCTTAGCCAGGAGGAGGAGCGTAAGTCTTAATGTGAATCAACTTTGAAGTGTTGCTTAATATCTTGGACCAAATTCTTTTCATTTTTGAATTGAGACATGCTTTGTTACCTAAAAGGGTTTTGACTATTACATGAGACATAAGCAAAAAAAACCACAGGGTGTGCCAAGTTTCCATCCAAGACAAGGGAAGAGCCAATGAATAAAAAAAAAAAAAAAAAAAAAAAAGTGGGGGGCAGAAGTAGAGGGAAAGAGAGAGAATCTTAAGCAGGCTCCATGCCCAGCACAAAGTCCAACGAGGGGCTCGATCTCACTACCCTAAGATCAGGACCTGAGCAGAAATCAAGATCGGACGCTTACCTGAGACACCCAAGTGCTCCCCAATAAATCAATTTAATGAGATACGGAGAAACAAATATAAACATAGTATGGATTAAATCACAAACTGTGCTTGTTTAATGTATGGTATGTGAGTTACAGGTTGGAAAAACATCAAGTCAGGGTGCAAAGAACCAGTCTGGTATCTGTGATTCTAAAAATATCTGTTTCTGATACAAAGAGAAGAGATATTCAGACCTTTTGTTGACAGCAAAATCTTCCTGCATTTGAGATTTCATTAGCTCTAAGTCACCAAACTTAGTTTCTAGTTTGTTCCTTGCTGGGGATGCCATTAGGCATAGTAGAAATGGAAGCCCACCCATTAGGTTCCAAGTCAGCTGCTATCCTGACTCCTCTCCACTCAAGACACCCTGTTTATCAGGATTTCCAGAGGAGATAAGGCTACCCAGCCACCAGCAATAGAAAATCCCTTTGAGGGGCGCCTGGGTGGCTCAGTGGGTTAAGCCGCTGCCTTCGGCTCGGGTCATGATCTCAGGGTCCTGGGATCGAGTCCCGCATCGGGCTCTTTGCTCAGCAGGGAGCCTGCTTCCCTCTCTCTCTCTGCCTGCCTCTCTGTCTACTTGTGATCTCTCTCTGTCAAATAAATAAATAAAATCTTTAAAAAAAAAAAAAAAAAAAGAAAATCCTTTTGAGAATACAACTATTCCAGGGGCACCTGGGTGGCTCAGTGGGTTAAAGCCGCTGCCTTCGGCTCGGGTCATGATCCCAGGGTCCTGGGATCAAGCCCCGCATCGGGCTCTCTGCTCGGCAGGGAGTCTGCTTCCTCCTCTCTCTCTGCCTGCCTCTCTGCCTACTTGTAATCTCTGTCTGTCAAATAAATAAATAAATAAAATCTTTAAAAAAAAAAAAAAAGAGAATACAACTATTCCATACCCAACTGGAATGGGGAAAATAAAGGCAGATATTTGATAATTCAGTTTCAAGAAAGCTCTTTCCCTTGAAATCTCCATTTTAATTAAAAGTGATTTTTTTTTCCTTTTGGCCATGAATCATCCAGACAGTTTCTACAACTTATACATAGCAATTTTGTGTGTGTGTGTGGTTGAAGGAAAAATAGTTTGTTCAGTATCAGCCAGTAACTCTTAATCATGTCCTGCCATGAGATTCCCCACGGGATGGGCGATCTTTCGTCTATGACTAATGATCTGTGTTTGTTTTCCCTTTGATGCAGAAGCCCATTTTCCCATGTAAACTCTGAAACAAAACCACCAGAGGCCAGCAAGTGTTTGCATGCTGGTACAAAAAAAGGTTTCAGTGTTTTTTCATTATCATGATCTCTGTGGAATTATCCACTAAAAACACCGATGCCCACTAGGAGATATTATTATCGATATAAAAATAGCAACATTGTAAAAAAACAAAAAGTTCCCCATTTGGCCACTGCCAGAAGTGTTTCATTCATACTATTTCTGATATGTTGAATACAAATATTAAATATGGGTAAAATCAATAAAAGAAGAAAAAAATTGAATTTATCTAAAACCAGAGAACAATATATGCTCCTATGGTTTCTTTTAAGAAACAATATCATAGGAGTTTTTAATTTCACATTTTTATATCGATTGAGATCGTTATATCATTAATAACATTAATATGCTTATATGTCAATATGTTAATACTGTTAATATGCTTGAAGATGATAGAAGTTGGTAGAGACACTCTGGAGTTAAACATAAAACCCTGAGTACTATGATGACTTTATCATACCTAAGCTACTTATCTAAATCTTGACACCTTGTTTATGAATTATAAGGAGGCAGTTCTACTGGAAGGAAGCACAGTCCTTTTCCATTTATCATTCTATCATTCTGCATTTGTATTTTGCAGCCTCCGAAATTTTGGATTTTTGTCTTTTGCTTGTAGGGTTACAGTGACTGCAATGTGCAACATGGACTTCAGCCGATTTCCCCTGGACACACAAACGTGCTCCCTTGAGATTGAAAGCTGTGAGTAGACTGTCCCACAGACAGAAGCCCCAGAACCCGAGTAATTCCCAACACCACTAACTCTCAGTTAGCAGGAACAGCATAGTCCCCTCATTCATGGCTAGTGATTGTTTTCAGTAATTTTTTTAGATTAAAGCTAAGTGCAGGGTAATTTTGAAAATCAGGAACAAATTTGGGGCTAAAACCTCTGTTCCTATAATAGACCCTTTTAATGGCGCTACGGCAATGGTTTTAAACTTGGTTCTGTGGGAACCTGGGCAATAGCTTGGGGGGGCGGGTAGAGGGCTCAGCAAATCTGGGTCTCCATGTGCAGCTATTTCTATCTGCTGTCCAATGTGTGAGCTCATTTTGATCTGTTTTTATTGTTCCTCTGAAAAAGATTTCTGTTGAAGAAGAGATTTCGTGCCAAAAACATGTTTGGTAAAAATTGCCCATGGGAATTGCCCAGGTGAGCGCAGGTGGCGCTTGAGAGCCTCAGGCACAACTGAGGGGCCTCAGGACATTTGCACGCATGGATGCTCTGCCCAGGTTAAGAGCCAGGCTCTGGGAAGAGCAAGGCTGAGGCAGTGTCAAGAACTACTTGCTTGCATCTCCAGATCTCTACACAGCTGCTCTGTTTTTCAGTCTTTGCCCAAATGCTTCCTTTGATGGGCGCAGTCTGGACTCTCCCATAACTCCAACTGTCCACTCCTCCCAAGCGAATACCAGCACCTGCCCACTGGCCCTTCCTGGCTGGTGACCAAGCCCTAGGGAGGAATCTCTTTGGCACAGGGCACCTTTGAAGCCAACCTGCATTTTTGGCAGTGAGTCAGGGATCTCCTGGCCCCAGTCATCCCGGGTGGAGGAGGGCAGGCATGTTGATGCAGAGGTCAAATGGACACCTGCATAGGGCACTGAATGTTGAAAAAGGGAGTAATAAATCCCAGGACCAAGGGAGAAACTGAACTACCCACTGCATAGTGGCTTCCCACCTGCTGTCATTTCACCCTCAACAGCTCCCGGGAGAAGGTTACTGTTATCTCCATTCTACATGGAGGGACATAACTGGCCTGAGGACATAGCACTAAGGACTTAACTCATTGGCTCCAGTACCCTGCTTTCCCTAGTACACCCAGCTAGCTCCATCGGGAATGTGCATTCCAGGCTGCATCAGGTAGGATGCACAGAGAAGCAGAATATTGGAGATACACAGTAAGAAATATTAAGGGCAAGGAATTGATTGTGCGAGCATGGGAGCTGGCGAGGCAAGTCTGTGCTGGTGGGAAGGGCAAGCTGGGAACCCCCGGGTGGGACCTGAGCCTGCCCTTCCACTCGCAGAATTTCTTCTTCTTGGGGAAACCTCAGATCTGCTCTTAAGACTTTTCAACTGATCAGATCAGAAAAAGGATCATCTCCTTTACTTCAAGTGAACAGATTGTAGGCATCTGGTCTACCAATCATCTTCAGAGCAACACCTAGATTAGTGTTCAATTGAATAACTGAGTGCTCCAGCCCAGCCAAGTGGATACGTGAAACCAATCCTCACACAGGTTAAGGGTAAGATATAGAATAAAACAGAGGAATGAAATAGAGCATCAGGGAGCTCCAGAAACAACTGTTGAACACACGAGCAGGCTGGAGTGGCCGCTGTTAGGTTTTTGCCTCAGGTCTGTCCAGGCTGCCGGTAGGTTTGCTCAGCTGGAGTCCCATGTGTGCCCATTAAAGTGGGCGGGGGTCAAGGCTGTGTCAGCGCCAGAGGGCATGGTCCTTCTGGGGGAATCCCTGTGATTTTACCCTGGGTAGGAGCAACTGGAAGCCTGCAGAGAAGGGACTTGTGTTCTCTTGCATCACTTTGTGGGTCCTTTCTTGCTAGAACACAGCCCCTTTACCTTGATAGTATTTAAAGATATTTGCCATCAATGGGTGTGTTACCACGCTTCGGAAGGAGAGAACAAAGGGCTAAATCAGCCTAGGTAAGGCAGTTTTGCCACAATTTCACCATTTCTGCTCTACAAGTGTATAGCAGTTTCATTCGTGTTAACCTAATAAATGGCAGGTTACATTGTGGGGTGAATGCTTTTGCAGGAATTAGGAGCACTGAGGCTCGAGAGCTTTGCTCTGATGACTTCTGGAAGACTGGGGAGAATTCATTTGTCTTTTTTAAAATGTTGTTTTGCTTCATCTAAACTGTGGCTTGTTTATTCCAACTCTCTTACTACCAGCTCAATAGTTCAGGTGGGAGATGTGGAGCTGCCCCCCGCGGAGCACCACTGACAGGCCTGGCTTCCCACCCCTCATACCTGCGCCTGATGCTGTCTCCTGTCTTTTCAGATGCCTACACGGAGGATGACCTCATGCTGTACTGGAAAAAGGGCAATGACTCCTTAAAGACTGATGAGCGGATCTCGCTCTCCCAGTTCCTCATTCAAGAATTCCACACCACCACTAAACTGGCCTTCTACAGCAGTACAGGTGGGGGCTGGGTGGGTCATCCTCTATTTTAGGAAAGGTGTCAGTTGGTTGTCAAGGGAGCATTGCCTGTGCCACCTGGATTTGAAGCCAAAGGTAGAAATCCTAAATCAGGTCTAGGGGGTGGCAAGCATGGGGGAGAGGTGCTTTTTGGATACCACCAAAGCATCTGGAACTGATAATTTAGAGAATATTAGTAAAGACTCAGACATCAGCCAGGTGAGGAGGTTCGTTTGAGCCAGTCATTTCCAAGCTTAGCAGCTGGCATTTCACCCCCGATAGGATTCCCAGAACCCCCTCCTCTGTAGGCAAGAAACTGTTCTATTTTAGCTCTGCTGATTTCTGTTTTCCCTGTTCTACTCAATTAATCTTCTCTCCCTCTCTTTTTTTCTGGAATGAATTCTCCCTGAACTATACTGCTTGCACAGGCCGTCTTTATGACCTTGGGACCCTCCTTGCTCGCTCTGAACGGGCTTGCCCCCTCTCCTTGCCTGGGGTCATGTTCTGTGCTCTTCCTCCTGGCAGCTGAGGTGAACAGCCCTCTCTAACCCTTACCCCAGTCTTGACTAATCAGCTTTAGGATGATATTATTCAAACTTTCATGTAAGTTCTTTTCTTTTCTCTCTCTCTCTTTTTTTTTTTTTTTTTTTTTTTGAGTAAGCTCCATGCCCAGCGTGGGGCCCAACGCAAGGCTTGAACTCACGACTCTGAGATCAAGACCTGAGCTGAGATCAAGAGTAGGATGCTTAGCTGACTGAGCCACCCAAGCGCCTGTCTTTATGTAGTTTCTTTTGCCAAAACATTGCACGACTGCACAGGAAGTGCAACCTTTTAAGTCTTCTAATCTATAGCAGAGGGCACTGCTTTACTCCCAGCATACCATGGCAATCCAGCATATCCCACCTTCTGTATACCTCACTCAGGAGTCTTGCTTTTTCAGGGGATCCCCCACTTCATCCTTAGCATTCTGACACTTCTTCCTGTCTTAGTCTCTTTGGGCTGCTATCACAAAAAGGCCATAGACCGGGCAGCTTCAGAAATAAACAGAAATTTACTTCTCACAATTCTGGAAGCTGGTTAAGTCCAAGATCAAGATGCTGGCAGCGTCAGTGTCCGATGAAAGCCCGCTTCCCAGTTCATAGACAGCCACCTTCTCGCTATGTCCTCACATGGGGGAAGGCGCAAGGGAGCAATCTGGGGTCTCTTTTATGGGGTCACTAATCCCACTTATGATGTAATCACTTCTGAAGTCCCCACCTCCAAATACCATCACATTGAGGATTAGGTTTCAACAAACAAATTTAGGTGGGTTGGGGGACAGACAGTCAGTCTATAGTGCCTCTATAGTCTTTCTGGGACTGCTCTACAGTGACAACCATTGTATTATAATTGTCCAGGATGCCAGGGTTTCAAGTTAACATTGCCAAGTCTCCATTTCATGTTCAGACCTTGCCTTCCTGGGTTTATCCTGCTTTTTCCTTTTCCTTCCATCTTTCTCCTGTTCCTTTGAACGCCTCCATGCATATTTTCTCCTTGTAGAGGATATAAGAGCAGAGCTAAAGCATGCTGAGCCTGTGATCATTTACTGTTCCTAAATGCAAAGTTTGGGTTAGCGTGGTATTTTAACTTTAAAACATTTGCCTCCATAAAGAAATCCAAAGGGGCTTGTTTAAATAAATGTTTCTCAAACTTTATCGTGCAGATAAGTCATCTGGCGAATATTGTTAAAAGGAGATTCTGATACAGTAGATCCGGGGGGGTGGGGCTGAGAGTCTGCATTTCTAACAAGCAACCAAGTGACGGTGACATTACTGGACTCTGCCCCAAACAATGAGTAACAGGAGTCTTAAATGGCCTTCTCAAGGGGCTTTCTTTATGTACAAGACAGGGGCCAAAGATGTCTGGAGAGGGACTCACCATGTGGCGTAGGTTATCATATAATCACTCCCATTGGTTTTATTTCCTCTCTGTAAATGTGTGGCAAGTTTCCAGGGAAGTGTCTAGGGCGTTTTTGAGTCCCGGAACAGAATGGGTTGTGTGCAGGAGCTGAGCAGCAATGATGTTTGGTATCTTTTCTTCCTTGTGTCTCCCAGGCTGGTACAACCGTCTGTACATTAACTTCACGTTGCGACGCCACATCTTCTTTTTCTTGCTCCAAACTTACTTTCCGGCCACCCTGATGGTCATGCTGTCCTGGGTCTCCTTCTGGATCGACCGCAGAGCTGTGCCCGCCAGAGTCCCTTTAGGTAAGGAACATCTCAAGTGTGTCTTTCAGGCATCTGAAAATACAAGTAATTTCTTCCAGATGAAACCATTCATTTCAAATTGGTTCTACACCCCTGTTGGCATGAAAACTTGGAAACATCAGGTTATTGATTCACAGGTCAAATATTATTATTAAGGACCTATGTGGCAAAACTGTTTCCAGGGCCCCATGAGTGCCCATGCAAACAACCCACGTTTAGTTTTGTTAGAACCATGTTCTGGGGTCGGTGGTCCTGGTGTGTGGGTGCTTTTTCTGCTTACCTGCACAAGGACACCACGTTCTAAAACAGGGCTTCTCCAAAGGTGGCCTAAGGGATCTTTGTAATGGCATCTCTGGGGGAAATTGTGTAAAATGAAGAATCCTGTGTCTCATCTACAAGTTTAGAATCAGAATCTCTGAGAAAGGAGCAGAACCTACATTTTGAAGAAGGTCTAGTAATTCTGATCCATACTCAGGTCTGAAAATCCCTGCTGTAAGCATTTTGTGAATAGCTCTTTGCTATCAGCTCTCTCCCCCACCCTAAATGTCATACCCACTGAGTCACACCACCATTGCTCGCTCAGTGGTTCTGAGGCTTCAGGGGGAGGGTGACCGCCAAGGTTTAGTGACACTGATTTGGAGCTGGCCCTTAAGGTGACCTCAGTCCCCTGTGACTCAGTTGTTTGCCAAACAAATGTTCTGAGCTTAATTTGAAATCCCAGGCAAACACCCCTGACAAATGTCCTGTCCTCTAGCAACTGTCCCATAGCTTGAACAGTCCTGTGCTAAATGGACATTCTAGTTTCAAAAATCTAAACCCCCTAGAGGAGGCCAGCATCATTCTTGATAAAATTGGCCTCCGCGTCCTCAAGTCAACCTTGCTGAATGGGCAGCCAGGTCTGGCATGGGGTTGGCTGTCAGAATTGCTCTGACTGCTGCTAATACAGGCCCAGGACTGCAAGATCCTACACCAGCAGCAAGGACACCAGTACGGAAATATACTTTTTCCCCCTTTTGGAGAGGTAGTTATAAGAAACACATATATACCTGCTCCAATGCATAATCTCGGATTTATTTATTTACTTATTTATTAATTAATTTATTATTTTTAAATATTTTATTTTTTAACATAACCTCTGTGCCAATGTGGGGCTTGAACTCACCACCTCAAGATCAAGAATCGCAGGCTCTATTGACTGAGCCAGCCGGGTGCCCCTATAGATCTCTGTTTTAACCAATTGAATGGAAAAATAAATGTCTTGTTGCCAAAATGTCTAGGGCGGGCTCTCTCTGGAAGGACAAGGTGAGACAGATGGTGTGGCCAGTATGTGGTGGGAGAGGGTGGGTGAGTATGAGAGGTGGAGGAACAGAAGAAGCTTCTTAAAAGCCAAATTTTGAGGGGTCCCTAGGTAGTTCAACAAGTTAAGAGTCTGCCTTAGACTCAGGACCTGATCTCAGGGTCCTGGGATTGAGCATGGAGAGGGGCTCTCTACTCCACAAGGAGTCTACCTCTCCCTCTCCCTCTGTTCTCTCTCTCGCTCACTCTTGCTCTCTCAAATAAATAAATCTATCTTAAAAAAGAAAGCTAAATCTTGAAAGATGAGCAGGTGTTTGCTAGACAGAGGGGCAGGGACGGAGATACTCTAGGCGAAAGGAGCAGAAAGGACAAAGAACAGAGGCGTGAAGCCACCCGGGGTCTTCGGTCAAAGGCAAACGCCTGCTTGTTTCTCACTCTGTTCGCAGGTATCACCACCGTGCTGACCATGTCCACCATCATCACGGGTGTGAACGCCTCCATGCCCCGCGTCTCCTACATCAAGGCGGTGGACATCTACCTGTGGGTCAGCTTCGTGTTCGTGTTCCTGTCAGTGCTGGAGTACGCAGCCGTCAACTACCTGACCACGGTGCAGGAGCGCAAGGAGCGCAAGCTGCGCGAGAAGGTGACCTTAACACGAGTGAGGGGTCTGCTCGGGGATGGAGAGCCTGGTCTAGCTCTGAACCGTGGGCAGGTCAGACCTTCTCTGTAAATTAGGGTGGTGACATCCCCTCCACGTACTTCACCAGCTGGTGTGAAGAGCAAACAAAATAATACATGAAAACATTGTGAAATTTACCCTGGCTATATCTTTCAGTCATTCAAATATTTATTTAGCGCCTGCCACATATCAGCAGCTAAGCCAAGTTAATTAAGACAAAGTCCCTTTAATCGTGGTGGTGTTCATTGTTTAGTGCTAAAAACAAGATGACAGTTCAACATGGTGAAACAATTATTTGTGAACCCAGAGGGGTAAAAAACAAAAAAACAAAAAACAAGCAAACAAACAAAAAACTTCCAGGGAAGCACATCCTCCCTTCTAGGAACCTCCCTTTCATATGTGACCTCTGGGATCACCTTCCCTCCCACCCGGTTTTTCTTTCTTGCTTCTGTCCACAGTCAAATGGTTCTTTCGTCCAGAAACCTAGAACCAAGTAGGAGTGAACTAGCACCACGATGCTACACCTTTCAGTCCCCACCCCATCACACCACACTACACACAAATAATGTTATCAGAAACATTTTTATCAGGGCGCCTATCAGTTTCTGACCTCAGGGGGAACAGGACAATTATCTGATCAGGAACATTCAGGGGGGTCTCTGACACGATGTGATGTTCCCTGAGAGTTGCTCCGTAGACTTGGAACAAAAACGGACACCTACTCTTTTAGCATGTTCCTGTGCCGACACCATTATTTCCCTAAGCCCTAACCCCTAACTGGGAATAAAAGAACAGAGAAAAGGCCACCTCGACCAGATTGCAGTTTCTTCTGAGAGCCGGGGCAGAGCTCACATCCCATTGTGTGTTTGCTGTGTTGGCAGCTTCCTTGCACCTGTGGAATACCCCAGCCTCGAGGCGTCATGCTGGAGGGCAGCTACAGCGACGGGGAGGTTAATGACCTGGGCAGCTACATACCGGAGAACGGAGAAAAGCCGGACAAGATGATGGTGCAGCTGACCTTGGCCTCAGAAAGGAGCTCCCCGCAGAGGAAAAGCCAGAGGAGCAGCTACGTGAGCATGAGGATTGACACCCATGCCATTGACAAATACTCCAGGATAATTTTTCCAGCGGCATATATTTTATTCAATTTAATATACTGGTCTATTTTCTCATAAATGTCTGTAACTCTGTAAATTTCACCTTCTTCTGTATGTGTCACAGAAATACCTGTGTGATGGAAGTAATTTAAGGTTATGAGGCAATTAAAGTTCCCACTATCCACCCTTCTCCTGCTTTCCAAAACTACATAGACAACCTATTTACTGCTTTAATTTGCACTCACTAACCGCCTGTTGCATCCATAGCATCGTACCCGGTGCTGCCAGGAATAGGACACCTGTAGCAACTGGTGATAGTTGTTACTGGAATCCCCTGGAAGAGCACGCTGCCCGTGTTGTGGACACACTGTAGCTTAACCTGTAGCGATTATTCACATGAATGACAACCTCTGTGCACACGTCATTATATTCCCTGGACTAGGTGGGATTGGGAAGCACTGAAGTTCACTCGTGTGAAACGTACGTGCACGTAAATCCCCACTTGGACCAAAATTCATGCTTGACTTCATATCTATTCCTTATTTTTCAATGTGTCTCCTCATGTTTATTTTAATACAAGGCAAAAATAATGTCCCTGTTTTTATTTATGTCTTATGGTTCATGAGGTTTCACCTCTTCAGAAGCAAAGCTCTTTAGATTGGTGCAATGGCTTCTGATTTGGGGGGATGGGGAGTCTCCCTGGTAGGGAAGCTATGAAGAAGATGGTCTATGCATACGTGTTCTGTCAGTTCTGTCATAGAGATAACTAGCCTAGAAAACTTGTGTTTCAGTGTCTCCTGTTTCATAATAATGGCTTCATGTAGTTCCACCTTGGAGCATGTCCTAGTTCAAAGTGAAGTCCTTTCTCAGGAGTGTGGTACCTTCACTGAGGAACTTGGGAATAGACAGTTGTCATCATAAACAAGAAAACACATCTTTTGGGACTATTACTAGTTACTTATTAGGAGGAGAAATATTCGCATGGTCTCTGAAGAAAAAAAAGAACACCAGAAAGAGAAAGAAATGGGAAGACAACACTCAACATCTCCAGTTATATTTAGTGAATGCCAGCATTTTCTGTGAACCAGGAAACAATGGCCACCTCTCACCAGGGCATGGGATAAGAGAGAGGATTCTAATTTGATGTATTATTGAAAAATAAATAAGCTATTGTGCTGTGAAGTGTGTAAACCTGGCGATTCACAGACCTGTACCCTTGGGGCTAATAATACATTATATGTTTATAAAAAATAAATAAATAAATAAATAAATAAGCTATTCATACTATACACCTACAGGATCAACCCCCAACAAACTTATCCAGACAGCACTTGTTTGAAACTAACTTTGATAAAGTGAATTCTACACAATGATGTTATTTTCTTTCCACAGGTACTTAAGCTGAGCATCCATACTAAATATCTCTTCATACGAGAACTATGCTTCATTCTAGTATGACAATAAAACCATATTCGCACAAATCCTAATTACAAGGTAGTCTTCCATTTCCCCCAATTTAAAAAGCCTTCAAGAAGATACTTAAAGGAATATAGATGAAATAGTTAAATATTAGCTTTTGATATTTAAAAACATTTTGAACATTACTTTCTCATGCTTATTTTATGAAACAATTTCAATCAAACTCTTCACAAACATCCTTGCCACTCACTTCTTGCTCGTGACCACAGCCACTCTGAGTCATCTAGCAAGGTTTCCAGGGCACATCATGTGAATTTCCATCCACTTTGTTTGGGCTGTATGTAGAGGATGCTGTATGAGTTTACTCAGGCTGCCATAGCAGGTGGCTTAAATGACACCAATTTATTTTCTCTTGGTTCTGGAGGCTGGAAGTCCAAGAGCAAGGTGCTGGCAGGTTTGGTTTCTCCTGAGGTCTCCCCCCTTGACTTGCAGATGGTCACCTTCTTGCTATGTCTGAGCATGGCCTTTTTCTCTGAGCCCATGCATCCCTAGATGTCTCTTTCTTTTCTAGAAGGATACTAGACCTACTGGAGTAGAGCTCCACCCTTATGATCTCATTTAACCTTAATTGCCTCTTTAAAAGCCTGGTCTCCAAATAAGTCACCATGGGAGTGAAGACTTCAGCATATAAATTGGGGGGAGGGGTGGAGTGAGGGCAAAATTCAGTCCAGAACAGCTGTCCATGTTGTCATGTCCATTATGTTATTTACATAATAGTACATCTTATACGTGTTTACTCTTGATCTTTATAACATAATCACTTACAGTACTTTTTTTTTTTTTTAAGTTTATAGTGATCTCCACACTGGTAGTAAGGAAGAAAAAGTAATGAAATTCATGTTAAATTTCTTTGCTATCTTGAAGCAATTCTTGCAGGGGACCTCTTCAAGCATTTCAAAATAGCACTGATGGAGGTTATTTCCATCGTTATGTTTCCTCCAGGCCGTACGTTGCTGTCAAAGCTACATGTGGGAGAAAGAACTCTAAAATGACTTTGTAAAGACTTCAGTATAAAGCAACTCCCTCTTTCTGGTGGATAATTTTGGAGAGGACCTCACCACATGTGTGGGCATCTATAGCACTTCATGAATTTTTGCTGGGATAACTGGAGAATAGGAAAACGTGGTTAATAAAATTGCCTGGTTAAGAGGCAGGTACCATCATATGCCCATATTAAATAATTTTTCAAGAGTCAAAATACTGTAACATACAGTTGACTTGACCTATAGCAAACATAATTTATTCTCTGTCTGGTAGTTCAGGATTTTGAGAGTTTATCATCATTTTTGTGCTACAATGTGGACATCATAAAGGTGTCTTCCTGGTGTTAGCCAGGAAGGAACTGGGGTCAGTCAGACCAGCCTTGACTCAATGGCAATATTCTCTTTCTGTGTTACATATCCCTAACCAATACTCATTAGCTTTTTCATAATTCACATTTTAGGGAAGAGTGGCGATGCTAGGTTTTAGAAAGAATAAGAAATGGCTTGTTAATAACAATGAAACCTCACATTTGTAAAACCCAGTTTTATACAAGTACTTTTTTTTTTTTAAAGTAAGCTCCACACCCAGCATGGAGCCCAGAGCAGGGCTTGAACTCACATAATCCTGAGATCAAGACCTGAGCTGAAATCAAGAGTTGGATGCTTAACCATCTGAGCCACGCAGATGCCCCACAAACAAGTACTTATTTATTTATTTATTTATTTATTTGTCAGAGACAGAGAGGGAGAGAGACAGAGCACACAAGCAGGGAGAGCAGCAGAGGGAGAGAGAGAAGTAGATTCCCCAATGAGCAGGAAGCCCAACGCAAGTCTCCATCTCAGGGCCCTGGGATCATGACCTGAGCCGAAGGCAGACGCTTATCCAACTGAGCCACCCAGCATCCCACAAACAAATGCTTTTGTTGAAGCACGTTGGGATCTGGGAGCAAATGGTTAAGAACGAATTCTTGAGAGGTCTTTGGTGCAAAAAAAGGTGGGTTGTGTGTGTGTGTGTGTGTGTGTGTGTAAGAGTGCAAAAAAAGGTGGTTTTATTAAACCACAGTGAGGAGTGACTGATTACATACTTTCAAGTAGGGAAGAGGCTAGGGAGAGCCTAAGTCTCTAGATGCAAGGTTTCTAGGACTTTGGGGGCCAGCTCTTGTTAGGATAAGGTCATTTACCTCTGTCTAGCAAATCCTTAGTCATGAGACCCTTCAATGTATATCAGTGGGCCATCTGTTTGGAGGATGGTTGCTAACATATCTTAGAGAGGAAGAGACAAAGGAAGTTTCCAAAGGGATTTTCATATGTTAAAGAAGTCTTACAGGATCCTGGATGTTGGGCTAAGGTCAAGTTAAAGTTGCCTTTTGCCTCTAGCAGAGTATTAATACTGAAGCAGTTGAGCTCCACGAGGAAGGAAGGTCACTCTGCTGTCCCAAGTACTTGTCAATGGGCTGTAAGTTGTAAGAAGTTTAAATTTTTTCTACATTTCTTTCACCTTTGTTCTCCACATCACTTTCACACACTGTATTTGTATTAAAGATTCCTAAGTTTCAAGTACAGAAACCTTTCATTTTGTGATAACTCACTAAAGAACCCATAAGAAGTCAGTGAAGTGGGGCACCTGGGTGTCTCAGTCGGTTAAGTGTCTGCCTTCGGCCTTCATCTCAGGGCGTGATCTTCAGATCCTGGGATTAAGCCCCATGTTGGGCTCCTGCTTAGCAGGGAGCCTGCTTCTCCTTCTCCCTGTGCCGTGCCCTGCCCTGCCCCTCTCTGCTCATGCATGCTCTCTCTCTCATATAAACAAAATCTTTTTTTTTTTTTAAGATTTTATTTATTTATTTGACAGAGAGAGACAGAGCAACAGAGGGAACACAAGCAGGGGGAGTGGGAGAGGGAGAAGCAGACCCCCCCCACCAAGCAGGGAGCCCTATGTGGGGCTAGATCCCAGGACCCTAGGATCATGACCTGAGCCTAAGGCAGATGCCCAATGACTGAGCCACCCAGATGCCCTTCATATAAACAAAATCTTTAAAAAAAAAAAAATCAGTGAAAGAAATGAGTAAGATGAATTCTTTTTTTTTTTTTAAAGATTTTATTTATTTATTTGACAGAGAGAGATCACAAGTAGACAGAGAGGCAGGCAGAGACAGAGAGAGGGAAGCAGGCTCCCTGCTGAGCAGAGAGCCCGATGTGGGGCTCAATCCCAGGACCCTGAGATCATGACCTGAGCCGAAGGCAGCGGCTTAACCCACTGAGCCACCCAGGCGCCCCGTAAGATGAATTCTTGATGAAATTTTAGTATCTAATTAGCAGGGAAAAAACAAACACTTCCATTTTCAGGCCAAATGAGAGTTGAACACAACCCTAATGACTGCAAGATACAATTCAATCTTTTTTTGGTCTGTACGGCATTTGACACTTTGATTTTTCTGATGAATTTGACAGCACCTTTGGCATTTTGTAGCTTGAACCCTCCTGTACCTACCTGTTTGTCCCATATATAAAAGCCCTTTTGACTTTTTATAGCTCTTATTTATTCTGAAAACTGAAAATAAGACAGAGAAACACAAAGTATAAAGAAATGCAAAACGTAAATACTCCCCTAGTCTCTACCATTTCCTTGGTTTAAAAATTTAATTGACATTTCTAAGTATTAACACTGCGGAAAACCGACTAGAGCAAGGAAAAAGGTCCTGGCAACAAATATTAAATATAATCTTAATTTTGGGGGTTGCAACATAGAATCTACATGAATGTAATTCTAAAACATTGTCCCTAA